GGTCCTTACACAGAGGAGACACAAACTTTGCTGCTTTTTATAAACATCTGTAAATGTTGTCACTTCTTTACTCTTCCGTCATCAAATATGAGTGCAAAGATTAATGTGTACAAGGCTCCTGAGCGATATCTATGTGGCAGGGGGGGAAGAATTATTATTTTTTCATCATTTATATAGCGCCAGCAAATTCTGTGGAGCTGTACAATGGGTGTAATAATCATATTGATGGCATTCTAGGACTACATGCATTCTCCAAATAACACATTTAAACTTACAAGTACACATACTCGGGCTGTGTGAACCCGTTTCTTACAATACAATATGGCAATAAGCTAGATATCTTTGCATTTCTAATTGTTTAGTACCAAATAGCCTTATAATTCTGCATAGATTGATTAATAGTAAATTCATTTTTAAGAATATGTAAAATGTATACTATTTTTCTTGTACTACAATATGTACACAAATGTAAATTTCGCTCATTTTATTGGTTAGCTGTGCATCAATGCTTATAATTAATGTTTACTTGCTTTTTAGATTGCAAAATGAAAGTATTCTATAGATAATAATAATAATGTTATTTATTTTATAAAGATGTAAGTTTATAATTTTGGTTTGTAAAACAAAATAAAACAACACATGTCTTTTTGATCTAGTATTTAGGTACAAAATAAGAATCCTAACAATAGTTAATTGAATTATAATTCAACATTTCTTTACTTGAAGGTATCTAGATGCGTATAACTCATGGGCCTTAAACTAGAATATATAATAGATGAAGGAGCAGGAATTTGAGGGCGAATGCCAGTATGCATTTCAAATTAGCAATAAACTGTTTTATAGAATATCACAATTTTATTCTCCTTACTGAAGCATTCTAAATATAGTGAAATATACATATCAAATATTGATTTGAAAAGAAAATAACTTTAAAATAATATAACAAATGAAATATTTAGAACTCACAATAATGATGTTTGTCCTGTGTTAAATATTAACAATCACTGTGACACAAAAGTGCAAAGGGGTTTTAGAGGATGAAATATTATATAATGAAAATACATTTAATCATGAAAATATACGTAAAGACTGATAAGAGAACTAGAGAGGTAGAAAATTCATTATAAATGATTGGCTAAATGAAAAGGAATAAATATCTCACGAACGAGACAAATAAGAAGAAATGAAGCCTTAAAATATATATTACACATGTTTTTTGTGGGTTATAAATAATATATTGAGAAGTTATTTGACCATTATTTTATGTCTTCTATTGCTCACAAGCAATGCATGAGAAGGCCATAAACCCTTCCTTTAATCAAAGCATTATCAAATTAAACTAGATCACAAAAGAAGCAAGGCTAATGTGTTTAATAGGTAGGGTCATATCCAAAATACACAGGTATGGGTAGCATGGTTTGTTTGAGCTAATGAATGCCAAGTATAACCTCTAATGATAAATGGATTCTGAATTGGCCATTCATTATCGAGGATATCCCATTAAGATGAAATGTTTTACATAATACTGGCCTCAGATAACTTGCCCTACACCATAACCACTGTTGTCTTTTTCAGATCTTTGAAAGCTGGATTGTGAGGCAGAGAGGATTATCTATTGCAACCCAAAATAATTATACACCCCATAATTTCATTAATAGCTGTATCCATTGTTTGAGAGTAATTGCAATTAACGTGGGTGTGTCACTTCTCTGGAATCATTTGCTGAATTGAATAGTGTTGCAGAGCTTAGTAAAAACTTAAAAATAGAACAGAAAAGGTGTGAATGGGCAGTGAGAACGTGAAGTGTACGTGAAGAGGAGTTGACAAAGCTAACCTGGATTGGCATCTCACAGACCAATGCACATAGTCTAAGTAACCTTTCCAGACAAGATAACTCACATTGACTTCTTTATGACTCTCATAAATAAACATTACGGCTACGCGTCACTAAGCTTATTTTAGTACTCCTCCACTTACTTAATTGTTGAATCTGTATTTAGTACATGACTATGTATTAACTATATAATTAAGAAAGTTCTTATTAAGAAAACCCTACAGAATCCATACGCTTCAATGCAATATTTCCATTGCTGTACTGTGAACTACACAGAGACTATCATTCCTTCTAGACCTGCTATACCATACACAAGTTATGTCAATGAATATTTTTTCATTCAAGTATCTTTGTAATTACTTCTTGAAGGAGCCATTGAAAAAAATGGTGTACATAACATATTTTCAATACACCGATATAACTGCATACCATCCAGGGCTTGAGAAGAACAAAGAAAGGACCAGGCCAAATCAAGGTTAACGTTTCTGTCATCTATCACAGTGCTGAGACGTACTCTTTATCAGTACGTACCACAAAGGTGGATTTTACTTTTAAGTAATAAACCCACCAAATCCTCATGTTAGAGCTAAATGGTATATTTAAAATAACTAGCTAAATTAACCTTTATAAGCATAACGAGCACACACAGTTTTAGAACAAAACTTGCAGGGCTTGCCAAATTAAGGACATCATGAACTTTCTCCAAAACCATTTTAGCAGTTTAACTGTAAATAAGGATCCTTGGCCACGCACAGCCTTGCCCCTACTGGGGACAGGGCTAAGGCAAAGATTACACACTTTCTTTTACTCATACCAAATCCTACCAGCAGTGGATGCTTTGATCAGGGTCAGCTAACACTCTCAGCCAATCACAACTGTCCACTGCTGCCGCATTAACCCAATCAGCACAGAGGGGATGAGCTACAATGGACTCTGCTTTAGCATGAAAACATTAAATTCAGTTTAACTGAGTGGAAGGATGCGCCAGGGGAGCAAAAACACTATAACCACTTCAATTAGATGAAGCTGTTAAACAACTTACAGATTTCCATTAATGCCCCCCCATTTTGGGTTTCTTAATGTGCTCATCACAATATGTCAGACCTCACCCTATTTGTGACATAAGTGACGTCAAATAACTATCTGCAGATAACAGAGACCCATTCGATATAGATTCATCCCAGACATGCAGGGCACCTTCCTTTATTTTCAGAACACCATTGTGTGTTGCCTTCTCCTTGAGACATGTACTTCAGAACTCTTAGTGTGCAATCAATCTTAATTCAATTAAAGAGAATACATAATTGCTTAGAGTGCGTATTTCACCATCTCTGTCCAAACAATAAAAGAAGAAAAACTCTTATGTGGCTGTTTTAAACAAAGAACCCTCAGGCAACTGAAATCCAAAATTGCTTACTTATGGGCTTATTGAAGCACAATCAGCTGCTTACACTACAACAGGACTTATAAAGATATATATTGTAAATACTTTTATGAACATATTCCTCATGCTCTCTATCTTTCTCCAACTTAAGTAAAATAATGGGGAATTAGTTACAGTATAGTTAAAAAATAAATATATGATTATAAATGTATCTACTATGTACACTGACAGATCCAGGGGTGCATTTGAGTGGGCTGTTAGTGTGTGTTTAAAGGGACACTCAGGACCCCTAAAGCACTTTAGCTAGTTGAAATGCTTTGTATGTAAAGTGTGTCCACTTTTTACAATTTAAAATTAATCTTGTTATACCCACTGGTGTTCATGTAGACAATTGATTCTGTTACTTCCCTGGAAGTCAGCAATTGCCCAGAGCACCTGCCCTGCAAAGACTTCTCACTGAGCTACATTAAGAAGTCTGTGATTGAACAGCCACAGAAAGTCTGGGCGGGATAAGAAGGGGAGGGCTTGCATAAGCAGCAGGTAAGAGAACTGCAAGTTGTATTTAGAAACACAGCCAATTAAATCTCTTTGGTTTATATCTACTGAACAGTGTTATTTTTTAGAATTTGTGCAGTGGAGTCCCTGTTTAAATGCAGAGGTGTGCAGAATGTCATTGCATAGGTATGTGAATGGAGGTGTGCATATGGGAACTGTCAGATCATAGGTATGTAAATGCAGGGGTATGTACAAGGAGTGTCAGTGTATATGTGTATGGAAGGCTGTTCAAATTGTCACTTCCTCTTTTCATTGTGTTACATAAATGAAGAGAGGAGCCACACTCAATGTCAGGTTCCAAAACTGACATGTAAGACTTTTTCGTTTATTACTGCCCCTTTAATTTCACTTAATGATCATTACCTCTAGTGGCCTCCCTAGCCACTAATCTCTTCAGTCACTTTAACATCCTGACCTGTATTAACTAATGAGGAGGCTCCATAAGTCTACACCCTGCACACAACAGTGCCTTGAAATTGAAGTCCGTGTTCTGACATAGACCTTCTGATCCTGGCTCCTAAAAACATCCTGTATTTATCTACATTATTTCAATCTGAAGAGACTTACCTGCTTGATCTACCATATTAAATATCCTTAACTGGTTCAACTGCTGCAACACTGCATGATCCTGTAAGCAACCTGTATTACTTTATACTGGAATCTACTTACCTGTCTCAACTACTGAAACTCTGCATAATCCTGTAAGCAACCTGAACTATATTATACTGAAACTATTTACCAGCTTTAACTATTTCAAACCTGTATCATCCTGAACCTGACTGCCGTGTGACATTCCACAAACTACTAATCTCCTTGGAATCACTTCAAACCTGCTTGTATATAAAACTTTAATTCATTTACTTTCAAGATATCCCATTTGTGGCATATTGCCTTTATTCTGTTTTTCTTACAAAGTATCCTGTTTGTGGCAGATTGCCTTAATTCTTTATTTCAAGTAAATTGTTATGTCTGAAAAGACAAATAAAATTTAAACCAATAACCCTGGCAATCCTCTCCTCTCTGACCTGCTCAGGAACATGACAGAATGTCAAGGCCTAAAATTGGAGACTACGGGGTTAACTGGTGTTCTATCTACAATTGCTGAAAGCCTCTTAGAACTGTGCAAGACTGTTTCATTGTTACTACAATCAAGCTCTTGTATAAAACCTAAGAAAACTAAGACCGTCACTCCTTATAAAAAGCAAGAAAAGAGAACCTCTTACTAAAATGGAAATCGATAAAAGACGGCAAGATGGCTCATGCTTCTATTGTGGAGAGAAAGGGCACAGAATTACAGAATGCCCAATAAGACCTCCTAAACATGCTGTGGTCACTGAAACCAAGAAAAGGGCTACAGAAAGAAGCACTCCTCCATGCAAGGATACAAAACACGGTACGTCTAATCTATATAAAAAAGACATACTTTTTCTCTCCCAGATGATTCCTTAGCATACTATGATACAGAAAAGGGATCAGAAAAAATGCACTGTGATGCTCCACCTTCAGATAACAGTCCTTCAGAAGATGAAGTCATGAGTGAATGTCTTGAACCTATGGTGACTACGGTGACTACAATTCCCATCAGCCGCTCTGCAGGAAAAAATACTGCAAAACCTCGTTATGGTGCTCCTGGTCTCATAAAAGCCAGTGATGGTATTATATTATCTATAGAGAAACTCACCAAACATGAAAGATATCTGGCAGAAAAGAGGTTTGTGGAAGCTAATCCCCTGGAGCTGACCTTCAAACATGATTCTACCTCCACTCCTGATCAACCAGCTACCATGGGTACAATTATTACTGAATCTGAACAAACCATTTCTACTCCACATATTAATGGAAAAGAAAATGCCATGGCTGAAGAACTATCACCTAACCGTGTAAGAGCCTCAAACGGTACGATAGTACGACGTGAAGACCTAGCCATATTCGAGAAAGCCCTAAAAGACAGAAAAATGGAAAAAAAAATTATTCCTTTAACTCTGATTTCTTCTCTTTCAACCGGACTGTATACAAAACTATGACTCCTGGATTAGCCCCTTAAACTCTGTATGGTCTGCAGTTAGACCTTTGGCTCTCCTTTCTCTTCGTCCTTCTGTATCATCTTATTTGAACTTACAAAAAATGGATTCTATACTGAGACGGCACCTTCCTATCTTTTCATAGGATTCTATACTGAGACTCCGAGTGTTTGGTCACCAGAATCCCCTTGAAATCCCCTTGTATAACTTTTGATCTTCTTCCATGTTTTTGTTTTGTCTTCAGAAATCTGCATCCTGAGGCCGCTCTTTGAGGAGGGGGTATGTCAGGTTCCAAAACTGACATGTAAGACTTTTTCGTTTATTACTGCCCCTTTAATTTCACTTAATGATCTTCACCTCTAGTGGCCTACCTAGCCACTAATCTCTTCACTCACTTTAACATCCTCACCTGTATTAACTGAGGAGGAGGCTCCATAAGTCTGCACACAACAGTGGCTTGAAATTGAAGTCAGTGTTCTGACATAGAACTTCTGATCCTGGCTCCTGAAAACATCCTGTATTTATCTGCATTATTTCAATCTGAACAGACTTACCTGCTTGATCTACCATATTGAAGATCCTTAACTGCTTCAACTCCTGGAAACTCAGCATAATCCTGTAAACAACCTGAACTATATTATACTGAAACTATTTACCAGCTTTAACTATTTCAACCCTGTATCATCCTGAACCTGACTGCAGTGTGACATTCCACAAACTACTAATCTCCTTGGAATCACTTCAAACCTACTTGTATATAAGACTTTAATTCATTTACTTTCAAGATATCCCATTTGTGGCATATTGCCTTTATTCTGTTTTTCTTACAAAGTATCCTATTTGTGGCAGATTGCCTTAATTCTTTATTTCAACTAAATTATGTCTAAGAAGACAAAGTTTTAACCAATAACCCTTGCAATCGTCTCCTCTCTGACCTGCTCAGGAGCATGACACTCAAATCCAATTGACACCAGGTGCACTGGAGCAGGACCAGGCAAACAGAATAATAGTCTACAGGCACTCAGTGTGTTCAAACCAAAGGCAGATTTATTGGGTCATAAAGATGGGACAGAGCAGCAACGTTTCAACCTGCCATGAGGTCTTTGTCTTAAACAAAGATCTCATAGCAGGTTGAAACATTGCTGCTCTGTCACTTTTTTTTTTTGACCCAATAAATCTGCCTTTTGGTTTGAACACATTGAGTGCCTGGAGACCATTCTTCTGTTTTCCTCTTGTCACTTCCTAATACACTATACTCCATTCCTAATAATTACATACATACATACATACATACATACATACATACATACATATAAACTGACCAGCCACACCATTAAAATCACCTGTATTAAAGCCACCATGCTGCCAAAACAGTTTTGATGCATCGACCCCACAAGACCTCTGAATGTGTCATGTGGTATCGCTGGCCTGCCTTCTTCTCATAGTGCATCCTCTTCCCCAGGTAAATGATGCGCGTGCACACACTTGGTCATCCACCTGATCTAAAAGAAAACGTGATTCATCAGACCAGGCAACTTTCTTCCATTACTCAGTGGTCCAGTATTGACACTCACATTCCCACTAAAGGTGTTTTCAGCAGTGGACAGGGGTCCTCATGGGGACTCTGTCCAGTCTACAGTAACACAGCTCCATAAGCAGTGAACTGTGGTGCACTGTGGGTTCTGACACCCCACACCCCCTTGCCATTTTGGCTAAGCTCTGACCCAGTCATCTGGACATCACTATTTGGCCCTTGTCAAAGTCACTCAGATCTTTTCGCTTTCCTGTTTTTCCTGCTTCTAACTCATGAAATTCAAGGAATGTCTTTTTACTTGCTGCCTAATATTTCCCACCCATTGACCGGTGCCATTGTAATTTATAGAATCAATGTTATTCACATTATAGACCACAAACTATGCAACAATGTGCAATGTCAATCAGCAGTGGCTAAGACCAGTAAGGTATTGGCATGCATGAAAAAGGGCATTCATTCTTGGGATGAGAATATAATTTTACCTCTTTATAAATCACTGGTAAGACCACATATGGAATATGCTGTCCAATTGTGGGCACCTGTTCTAAAGAGGGATATTATGGCACTTGAAAAAAACTATTTTTTTAGTTTAGAAAAACGTTGCCTGAGAGGGGATATGATAACATTATACAAATATATTCGGGGCCAATACAAACCATTGTGTGTAAATCTATTCACAACCGGACTTTACATAGGACACGAGGTCATGCATTTAGACTGGAAGAAAGAAGATTTCGACTAAGGCAAAGGATTTTTTTTTTTTTACTGTAAGAACAATAAGGCTGTGGAATTCTCTGCCTGAAGAAGTGGTTTTATCAGAGTCCATACAGATGTTCAAACAGCAACTAGATGCATACTTGCAAAAACAGAATATTCAAGGATATAATTTTTCAATGTAGGGTAATAGCTGCTTGATCCAAGGATAAATCTGACTGCCATTCTGGGGTCAAGAAGGATTTTTTTTTTTTTCCTAGTTTGTTGCAAAATTGGAAGTACTTCAAACTGGGTTTTTTTTGGCCTTCTTTTGGATCAACAGCAAAAACATATGTGAGGAATGCTGAACTTTATGGACGCAAGTCTCTTTTCAGCTATGTAACATTACCTGTCAGTGGTTTCAATGTTCTTGGCTTATCAGTGCATATAGCCAGTTCTCTAGCCAAATCTACTATGTCAGAATTATTTGTAATTTGTTTATGAAGTTGTCTGTCTGCAAGCTCTAAGAATGGTTCTTAATGATTTGCACTGTGGTGTAAAGTGACCAGAGCAGAATTAACCAGAAGCTGACCACAGGGAGCCAAAGGGTCCAAAGGTTAGACAGGGGGCCCGGAACCATGAACTTGCATGGCCCCACAAACAATCAAAACCGTAAGAATATAGGGGAGATCCCAAACTGGAAACCTTCCTAGGACCCGTAGGATCTTTTTCAGAGATTGACTGGGAGCGTTGCTATTAGAGCACAAATAAAGCACCTTCTTGCTAGCAGTGGCTTTGAAGGCAGAAGCCTGGAAGAAATATTAAGATTCCGATACCCACCACAGGTACCTGTCTGTTATTTTGGCATAAGCTAAGTAGCAGGAAACTATGCCATGCCACAAGCATTCATTATCACAAATTGTTCAGTATTGACAGTAATTAACAGTAGCTACAGTTTAGTTTGATTAGTGACTATTATTTTAATTTACTTTAATGGCCTGCAAAGTCTCGGAACTCCGGGAAACATGCATTTATTTTTCCTATTGCTTTTCACACTTTTTGGGCAATGGGTTATGGATGTTTGGTGATCTAGTCACTGTACTCTTAGGCAGGATTGGTTAGGAGACCTGTAAGGCAATGTAGGTTCTCTGGCAGGGGAGGGCTGGCAGCCTCAGACCTGGGGGGCAAATCCAGTCAAGTGGCCCATTGCACCCCCGAACCAGCTCACCATCCATGCCCATCTTTTCCTGGTTTTATAACGGATATTGATGTTATGCTAATAAGTAGCTTTTTGCCATACCCACTCCTTTGTGGCTCCGACTTTCAATGTTGTTAGAGAGCAGGCTGAGAATCTCTGAGCCTGTGCTCTGACTCACTAACTAACCACAAGGGAGAGGATATAATCTAAGGCACCTACTGCTGGTGTGCACCAGTAGACCACTAGGGAATCATTTAAATTAAAGGGACACTCCAGTGCCAGGAAAACAAATTATTTTGCTGGCACATCAGGTCCCCTCTCCCTCCCACCCCCCATCCAATGTTGCTGAAGGGGTTAGAACCCCTTCAGTGACATACCTGAGACCTCCGCCCATGCTCCTCCCCCGTTGACGTCATCACCAATGGGCAGAAGTGGTCTGGGTGCCTGAAGTGTCCCTTTAATGTGCTGGTGTCCCAAACTTGTGAGCTGTGTTGGCCACCGGGCGCCTCTGTTGTCATGGCACTCTACATGACCCCACAGCTTGCACACCTCAAAGGCTGGCTCTGCTGACAGACACACTGGCACTCACTCTGAATAGCACACACACACACACACACACACACACACAAACCCTGACTGACAAAGACTCACTGACAGGCAGACACAGACACACACACACTTCCAGACACACACACACACACACACTTACTTCCAGACACACACACACACACACACTCACTTCCAGACACACACACACACTCACTTCCAGACACAGACACACACACACACACACACTTCACACACACACACACTCACTTTCAGACACACACACACACTCACTTCCAGACACACACACACACTCACTTCCAGACACACACACACACACACACACTTCCACACACACACACTCACTTCCAGGCAGACACACACTCACACTCACTTTCAGACACACACACACACTCACTTCCAGACACACACACACACACACACACACTCACTTCCAGACACACACACAAATTCCTTGTTGCTCCTTCCTTTAGGAGTCCTCTGGGTCCTTCCCTGGGGTCCAGTGACTTCCTGCTCCTCTCTGCTCCCTAGAGTGCTGTTTAGTGATGCAGGGCCGGAATGACGTCATATTCCGGCTCCCGGCATCACCAGAGAGGGCGCGCGAGGGAGCAGGAAGATCAGCAGAGGCAGTGCTCCCTCGCCGCCGCCTGCCTCCTTCCTCATGAACAGCGGCCGGTATATTTCTTCAGAGTAGACACCTGCCATCTGGGACAAGCAGGTGCCTACTCTGCCTTGCTACCGGGCGCACTAGGTGGCCCTGCTCCGCGCGGCACCCTCCTCCTCCTGGCGCCAGGGACCGGCCCTGCAGCGGCCGTTTTTTAAGTTATTTAGGGCGGCCTGGGGGCAATTGCCTCCCTGCCCCCCCGGCCCAGCCCGCCCCTGTTCTTTGGAGAGGTCTCTCCTGGAGTTCTAAGGTAACCCCTTAGTCAAAAACAATGTGTCAAAAACAGGGGATCTAGTGACAACCAAATGCCAACCTCTCTGCTGCTACTTGGAAAATGCAAACGCTTA